CAAGACAAATAATGCTATAAGCACCTCTGCCCTTTCAAGGACTCCTGCCCCTGCTCTGGAGTGAGCCTGAAGCAGGCAAGACAAGTCCTCATGATACACAGAGTGGTTCTGATTCTTCTTAAAGAGCTCACTAATGTCACACTACAGCCAAGTGTGGGTGCACACCTGTAATTCCAGCACTTGGGAAGCAGGGGCAGAAAGATCAGGCGTACAAGGTCATTACTCTCTACATAGTGATTTGGAGGCCAGCCTGAGCTACATGAGACATGAAGATACCTGAAAGAGCAAAGAGTCAGGTGTTGGTGGCACAAGCCTTTAATCCCAGCACTCAGGAGGTAGAGGAAGGTAGATCTCTGTGAGTTCAAGGCCAGCCTGGTCTGCAGAGTGAGTTCCAGGACAGCCAGGGCTACACAGAGAAACTCTGTCTCAAAAAACCAAAAGAAAACGAAAAAGAGCAGGCAGAACCAGAATCCCATTCTTCCTATGTGTGGTGATACAAAACTGTAGTCAGTTGACCCTGACTGATAGATACAGGGATCCTAGTAGAAAACGAAAAAGAGCAGGCAGAGCCAGAATCCCATTCTTCCTATGTGTGGAGACACAAAACTGTAGTCAGTTGACCCTGACTGATAGATACAGGGATCCTAGTATTCTGCGTGTCACAGACCACAGACAGAACCAGTTGATTAAACTTGGGTTTGATCAGATAAAGCATGATTGGGCCCATCATCTGAGCACACACTGGCCATGTTGAACTTATATGACGCCTAAGATGTATTTCCATAGTTAATTTGACAAAATGTCTATTGTGACTTAGATTCCAATCAATATGTCAGATGTGACTCTACAAGAGATCAAGAAATGTATCCCTTTGCCTTCAGACAGTTGTTGTTGAGCTGTTTGGGACAGATAAGAACCAAAGACACAAAGATGGATTGATTGTCCACCTGCTGCCCTCACACCCCACAGAACTCTGCCCCAGTGTCTGCAGATGGCTTTGTGTCCATTTCTTATCTGTCCTCTCCTGGCTCCCTCCTCCTTATTCTCAGGCTCTCACTAGGAGGCCTTCCCTGAGCCAGATGGGGGTGGGAGCCAGGCCACACTCCCTTTTGCTTGTTGATGGGTCTGTTTCCTGCCCCTCAGAACTGAACCATCTCAAGGATGTTAGCCAGTATTTTAATCACCATTTTATCCCCAGCATTTGGCAGTGAAACCATATCCTCTGCAAATATTTATTGAAGGATCACAGGAATGTTTCAAGAAATCATTCTCATGTGTGAAGGGTTTCCCATGTACTCCTTCTCAGCATTCCCACTGCTCTGTCTTAAGCTTACTCACTCAGATGAAGAGCCGGCCTCCTGTGTCTCTTATCATTCTCTTCTCCAAGTTTGAGAATCTCAGCCACTTAAGCCTCTCAGTTCTCTCCTCCAAATCCTCGGACTTTCAGCCTATCCAGGACTCAACCAACCTGCAGTGGGTTGGTCCTTGATTACTGTCTCATGAATTCTGACTTAACAGGACATGTCCAGGCAGCAGGGGATATGGGTGGTTTCACAGTCATATAGCTCTGCATTCAAATGCTGCCTCCCATATGTTGCCTAGGGAACCTTCACAAAGTCTCTTTGCCTCCCTAAATGCATCTACTGATCTACAAATGGCAAGAATAAAACTTTCCACACAGGGCTAACATGAAAGAGGCAGGTGGTATGGACAAGCAGAACTGTTCTGAGCTACACAAAGTAGCCCCAGTACATAAGAGTCTGGGTCTACTCTGCTTCTGAAGGATACAGCATCCATCTGTGACATGCCCAAAGATGTTCACAAGCACCCAGAATATGTCCTGAGTGATATGTCAGCTTCCAGTTGCCCCTTGCCCAGAAGTAAAGACACCGAGGACTCTGCTCAGCAAGAAGCTGCTGGAAAGGCCAGGTATGGTGACAGTCTCCAGGGACAGCCTCAGCACCCAGGAAAAAAGTACATATCACATCCACAAACTTGTGTCACCTCTGGTACTTACATGCATGACTCCACCCACCAACAAAGAAGCTGGGAACTACTTCTCCACCTGGCTTCTCAGTCACAGGTGCTTTCCACTCATCTGCCCCAGACTTCATCATCTGGAAATGTTTTCCCAAGCACCTATTACCAGTGTGTTCATTCAGCCTATCACCCATTATCCACAAAGGCCACTTGTAGAGCAAAGTCTAATTGGTGTTAATAAAAACCCAGAGTCAGATATGAGGATTAATGCTGAAAGGTCAGAGAAGGACCAACCACCAAAGTACTATATTCTCAGACCAAAAAGGGCTGAGCTCCTAGCTTCTCCTGCTTTATATTCCTCTCTCCGCCCAGCCATATCACTTCCTGTCTCCGCCTCCCTGGTGCTGAGATTAAAGGCATGCGATCCCAAATACTGAGATCAAAGGTGTGAACTGTTTCTCTTTTAGACTGGTTAAATCTCGTGTAGCCCAGTGTACCCTTGAACTCCTGATCTTCCTGCTTCCCCCTCCCAAGTGCCAGGATTAAAGGTGTGTGCCACCAGTGCTTGGCCTCTGTGATTAACTAGCTCTACCTTCTAATCTTCAGGCAAACTTTATTTGCTAGAGCACAAACAAAATATCACCACAGCCACTAGTTCAAGGAGTCCATCCACTAGGGTGGTTTTCCCCTTACTGAGCCAAAGGAGAACTTAAGGGGAAGGCTTGCCATAGTGGTTTGAATGAAAATGGCCCCCTTAGGCTCATAGGGAATCATACTATTAGGAGATGTGGCCTTGTTGGAGGAAGTGTATCACTGAAGGTAGGCTTTGAGGTCTCAGATGCTCAAGCCAGGCCCCATGTGTCTGTCTCTGCCTGCTGATCTGAATGTAGAACTGCCTGCTCCTTCTCCGGCACCATGTCTGCCTGGGTGTCACCATGCTTCCTGCCACGATGATACCAACTAAACCTCTGAACTATAAGCCACCCAATTAAATGTTTTCCTTTATAAAAGTCGACATGGCCATGGTGTCTCTTCACAGCAATAGAAACCCTAAGACACTCTCCCTCTCCTAAATAAGCCCCTTCTTCAGAGACTGAAGCAGAGGATCCAGTTTCAGTGACTAGTGGTGTATGTCTGTCTATGCTGCCAAAGCCTTCAAACGTCCTTGTTGATAGCGTTTCAGAATGGGATAGCTAAGTATGCATACATGCATACAGCATCTATTTCTCTATTTCTGTACTAGTCATGCCCTCCTAGCCTCCTGGGGAGCAACCAGTCTGACCCCTTAACTGAGGCAGCCATGGATGAGGTACAGAATGAGCCCGTGCAGCACCCACAGTGGATGCTTCCAGTGGAAGCATTGGTCAGCGTTTCCCTCCCTGGCCCCATTTTATGCACTATAGTCCCAAGACAAGTGAAAGTGACTGGCCATCACCCATGCCTCTAGGAAGGGTGGGGGCTATGACTAACCTGAGGTTTCAGGCTAATGGGTTTTATCTCACCTTGTATGCCTGGAGCTCAGCTATCTGGGAATGCTTAATAATTGGATTCCTGACCTTTCAGCTGGCATGTTTCCCCTTCATAGGATAATAGAATGGGTCTCCAGGTCTGCTCTGCTTTTAGTGCCCCCATAAGCCTGGGTCTAAGAGAAATTCTGGATTCCCTGGCCCAAGGTGGGGCAAGGCTAACATATTCTAACAGTCCGATGTAATTATAGGGCTGATCCACCCTATACTGTTTTGAGTGGAACCCAGTAATGTACAAATTACCTATGTCCCTTTCCAAACAGGTCAGAAATGCTTGGTTATCACAATACACACCCTCTGAAAGGTGAGAGGAGTTCTAAGAGATTCGGACCACACAGCTGATTTCAGGAGCATTTGAGAGCCTATGGAGGGAAGGACATTCTGAGTGTTTACTTCAAGCCATGCATTGTGCTAAAGGGCTTTCAATAAATTATCACATCACCTGGTTGAGAAGCAACATCATCTTGGTTTTACAGGCAAGATAGTTAAGGCAGATTAAGAACTAGCTATTTGCACAGATGAGCTTCAGGACCAGCCCCAAACATCTAGCAAGAAATCCTGGATCATGTTCTGATGATATACATGCTATTTACCACTAGAGGCATGACTGTAGGCTGAGCATGTGGCCATGTGAAATGCTTGCCTAACATGCACAAAGCCCTAGGCTGGATCCCCAGTACCACAATACAAACAAACATAGAAACAATGTAACAAGCTCTTCCTAATATATAGGAAAATAACCCTGGAGGTTCAGCCTTCTGGATTAGAGCCCCTCATCTAACAGCAGGCAGAGCAGTTCACAGATACCACACATTCCTAAATCTAGAAAGTGTACCCTGACCCTATGGCTATGCCCATTCTCAGACACCACTAGCTGCTCCTGAAGAGCCGGCCTTCCCCAGGGGACATCAGTTATCAGAGAAGCCATCAGGAGGGCAAAGGGCAAGGAAAAGCAACCGGATTAAGAACCTGATCTTGATCAGAAAAAGTAAATTCCCTGACCCTGTGCAAGAAGAGCAGGCACTATCTTGTGTGGAAAAAGGTCACACTTCACAAGCTCACTAAGAAGGACTGGGCAGTTTCCCCAGAAGTTTGTGTGAAAGGAGACCAGGAAGAGTGACTGGTCTGTGACTGTCTGACACTGCCTATGAGTTGCCTGCACTCTGTACTCTGTAGCAAGCATTTACTTGGGCTTTGTATGCCACCTTCTGGGGATAAGTGATGCTGCCAAACACCACACTCATCAGCCAAAGCCCCAACCCCAGAGGCAAGGCATCATTCTCCCTGGGTACCGCCAGCTACCACGACTCTGATGATGTCATGATCTGGCCATGATTCTTCCATTGGTAGGCTGGAGAGAAGTCAGACTTTATTTCAAATGACTAGTGCTAAACAGGTAAGAAGTGATTAATCCCCATCTAAATATAAAACTTCAAAAATGGAGAGAGAGAAAGAAGATCTGTCCTTCCCATCAAATGGAAAAGTAAAATGGAAAACAGCTAACAAGCTATAAAACTAGGCTTTTCATGAGCCTAGAAAGTTTCTCAGAACTTGGAATTTAGACCAATTCATTTCCTCTGTTCTTAAGTCACTAGAACATAATGATTTAACTGGCTACAGAGCAAAGCCAGTTGTCCCCCAAGCAAAATCCAACACAATGACAAACACATTTAATTCACAGAATTTCATTTGGTGCTTGACGGTCCCTGTAAATGGGCATCAGCATTGTTTCTGAGGTCCTAGCACTTGACTTGTGTGTGCATCGTCCACAGGCAGCTGCTGCATCCATCAGAAGTCCAGAAGAAATCTCCTGACCTGAGCCAGGTACTTGGGCTGCAGATAGTCACCCAGCTCTTCCTTACTGGCCCACACATGATGGGACTTCTTCCCAGTCTGAGGGACATCTCCTGTGAGCAGCAGAGCTTTGAAGAAGAAGACTTTGACCCCAATGTCACTCTCTGTCCGAATTGCCTTGGGGAGTTTGAACTTATAGTGCCCACAAGGTGCATTCCCTAGGAACTTGGCTTCCATGCTGTTTTCTGAAGAGAAAAGAAAAAAATGGAAGGTTAGGGTACAGCCATCTGCCTCTTCACCCAAATCACAGGAGTCTCAGAAAAGCCACTTCTAACAGAGCTAAAGTTGATTCCCATGAGTATGGCAGTCCTGAAAAGAGTTCTGTCCATCCCCCAGATGGTCTAAATGCTTTCTAGTCCAGGTGCCAGGCTGCCTGTGTGGGCCTACAAGTCCACAGTGCAGTTAACATTATCTAGGAGTCACAGCAGCTGACTTCTGCACTCAGCCTTGTCACCCACTGCTGAAACAAGACAGAGAAACTTGGTATCTGTAGAGCCAAGCTCATCACCTCTGAAAAGTCTCCAATTTGACATTTAGGGACTGGGAATGACAGAGCTTCCTGAAGTAAAGTTTGGTTTTTCTTCAAGATATTTAGATAGCTTAGACCCCAGGCAACAAAACAATGGTCTCGCTGCCTCAACATCTCAAGTATTGGGATCAGAGGCATGCATCACCACACCCAAGGCAGATCTGACTTCTACAGTATGCAATCAAGGAGGAGTTAATAGCCCAAATCTAGCATTTCAAAGACAGCAAAATAGAGGATTACTAAACAGCACCTGAAGAACAGTTAGCTAAACAGAAAAACAGAGTTGGAGTCCAACCTCAGTACTCACACTACAACTGATACTGTGGTCATTGTGGTCCTGAGACTAAACAGAAACTTCACATTTTCATAAAAGGTTTGCTCACTTTGGATAATGCTTTCACCCAACCTCAGTACTCACACTACAACTGATACTGTAGTCACTGTGGTCCTGAGACTAAACGGAAACTTCACATTTTCATAAAAGGTTTGCTCACTTTGGATAATGCTTTCATGAACAGTTTGTATTTTTTGAATTATGATGTATTTTCAAATTTTTCACTAAAAAAGCAATATTGGAATTTTGCATATCAAGAGGGGCCGAACTTCTAAACAAATACATACACACACACACACACACACACACACATCATTTGCTCACATAAAACTCAAATCTTGGGGCTAGAGAGATGGCTCAGCAGTTAAGAGCACTGACTGTTCTTCCAGAGGTCCTGAGTTCAATTCCCAGCAACTACATGGTGGCTCACAACCACCTTGAATGAAATCTGGTGCTCTTAGCTGGCATCAGGTAGAAGACTGTATACATAATAAATAAATAAAATCTTAAAAAAAAAACCTCAAATATTTCAGAGAAAAAAAAAAACACATGTGCACACACATACACACACACACACACACACACACACAAAACCTGCAAGGACAAAATTATAAAATTGAGTAGGGTGTATTAGTGACACTAATGTTCCCAAAGCAATCAGCTCCTGGGAAGTAGAGGCAAGAAAATCAGTAGTTTGAGGTCTTCAGCTATGCAGTAGGTTCAAGGCCAGCCTGGACTACATAAGATCCTGTCTCAAAGAACAAAAAGACTCAAAAATATTTTCAGCACACCCAACAAAGGAATAATATCTTAAGACACCAAGAAGCACTTGGAAGCCAGGCATTGTGGCACATGCCTCTCATCTTCAGCACTGTGGAGGTGTAGCAAAGAGGACTGCAAATTCAAGGCCAAAGTAGACTATTTAGTGAGTTCAACGTCAACCTGGGCCACACAGTAAGATCCTATCTCAAAAGAAATGGAATACAGGACTTGGGAGATGACTCAATGGGGGCAGGTATTTGCCACCAAGCCTGAAGACCTGAGTAAGATCAATGGGGCCCATGTAGTGGATAGAACCAACCTGAACAAGTTGTTTTCTGACCTCACACTCGTGCCATGCATAGCATGTACATGACCATACACACACACTCACACACACACACACACACACACACACACACACACACACACACACCCAACACATAAAAATAGATATGTTAATGATTATGTACAGAAAATTTCTAAAATAATGCAAGGGAAAAAATTGTCAGTGAGCATTACTATGTCTGACAAGGAAAAAATACTTCTCATATCACACTTACTAGATACTGACAATCATTAAACATATGCATGAATTGGTGTTCCAAGCTAAACAAAACATTACTAGCACCAGATGAACTTACATACAATGTTCGTTCACATACTACACTAAGTGTCTGAGTAGGTATCTGGGAAAGGGGACTATATTGGTATATTTCTTTATACTTTCCCCAACTCTCCAAACTTAACTGAATACAGCATATTATTTTTCTATAATCTGGAAAACACAGATTAAAATATTATCAAGTTAGAAAATAAAATCATTTCACTGCAAACAAGAACAAGGAATCTGGGGCTGGCTCAGTGTTTAAGAGCACAACTGTCAATTCCTATGTGATGGCTGAGAGACTGAGAGAATAAAGCCCACACATTCCACTGTATCTTGTTGCCTCTCTTGCTGGCTAAAGCAGCCCCTAGTGAGAAAGGATCAAGAGACATACAAACTTTTGACATTTTCTAGGAGCACTTATCCTGATGGCAGAGCCAATCAAGTGGCTAGGTGCCTATCCTATTACCAAATCTACTTATCCAACAGCAGCAAGTGTCTACAACATGCCAGGTACTGCTGAGAACTCATGAAGAGGAAGAGTCTGATCTGGCCTTCAAGGAACTCAAAATTCTAACTAGAACGAAATGTGTAAATAAACCAGTATGGTACAAAGGCATGAGTGAAAGAACATATTCTCCTCTACAATATAAGCAGCCATGGAGTAGGCACTGGTACCCACTGCCAGATATGCCTGGAAAACAGCAGGCACAGAAAATGTTTGCTGCATGAACTGCTTGTACAAGCAAGAGCTTGAGGAGCTCTTGATCTGGAGCTAGAATCTTCTTAAAGGAAGAATGCATGGCCCACAGCAGAGATGCATGAAAAACCACTAATCCATGAAACACAAGGCTCTACTGGGTTAGAACTTGGATTAGAGATTAACACACTAAGAGCTGCTGAGATTGGGACCAAGATAAGAAGAATTTATAGGCTAAGTGTGGGTACTCGAATATCTATGGAAAACACTTAAGAATTCTTTGCAAAGAAGTGACAAGGGATTTTATTCAGAAACCACATGTCAGTAGCATTGGAGAATATAAAACAAAAGTGAGGAGTTATAGTTACTCAACCATGCTAATTATGCTCTTTAGGTAATATCTGGCAATGTGTAGAGACTTTTTTGTTGTTTTGGTTGTGACACTGGGGGTATGGCTGGGAATAGGAATGAAATATTGCTACTGGCAACTAGTAAGTAGAGGCCAAAGATGCTAAACACCTTACAGTACACAGAAGAGCCTCTAACAAAGCATTAGCTGGCCCCAAACACTAATAGTACCATAGTCTAGTGAAAAGTGAAGGACATCACCGCTAAAACTGTGAAAATAAAGACAAGATGATTTTGGAACAGACCAGGTAAGACCCAAAGATACATACATCAGAATGAGGTCAATGGCAATGCGAAGTTTCTAGTTGAATCAGTGAATATACCATGGCACCAAAAAGCAGAGTTGGAAATATAGGTCAGTGGTAGAGTGCTCACCTACCAATTACAAAGTCATAATCTCAATCTCTAGTACTGAAAAACAAAATTTTATATTTCCTAAGTGTAAGAATTCTGATTACTTGGCCTGTACAGCCCAATAGAACAAATCATGTTGCCGGAGGTGTGGGTGAGCCAGTCCTGAAGTTGTGAGCATGGGAGAGCTGTCCCCATTACTCATCTGTCATGTGATGGCATGGGTGGGAAAATGCACCTCATCAATGCCTGAGGCAGGTGGGAGAGCCAGCCCTGAGGTCAAAAGGGTAGGAGAGCTGTCACTGCCCCACACCAGCTGCAACACTCGGGAGAGCAGGCCTTGCACCTCGAGTGAGCAACACAATAAAGCCAACCCCATTGGGAGATGTGTGGATGAGCCAGCCTCAATATTGTGAGCATGGAAGAGCTGTCCCCATTACTTACCTGTCATGTGATGCCATGGGCAGGAGAGACACATTCCCTATTAATGCCAGAGGCAGGTGAAAAGCTGGTCCTGAGGTCATAAGAGTGGAAGAACTAGCCCTGCCCCTCAGCAGCTGCAGCACTAGGGAGAGTGGTCCCTACACCTCCACTGGGCAACACAGTAGAGCTGACCCTGAAGGTGTAAGTGGGAGATCTGACCCTAAAGGCATAAAAGCAGGAGAACTTGCCCCACCCCTTGCACATAGCTTCAAGGGGTGATTTCACCAGAGCAAAGCAGAACTCATCCCAGTACTGAGGACAAGGGGGAGCTGGCAGGCTGACCAATCCTGCAACTACCCAGACCCAGAGTTGTGTGTTGGCTCCCCCAACAGTGATATGCTGGAACATATAAAGGGACCAGTTCTGCAGACCCAAAGCTTCAGGATCTCCACAACACAGGGCAACAGCAGGATAACCAAGGAGATCCAGTGAGGGCCCAGCTTCAATAGTGTAGAAACCAGAGGCCTCAAACCAGACCAATGACTCTTTGAAATGAACACTTACAAGTAAAGATAAATGGAGAAAAGCATTTACTGCATGACTCACTGTGTCACACTACAGCTTCCATGAGATTTTTTTTTCCTTCTCTTCTTAATTATTTTTTTCTCTTTAATGTAATTTAATTGGGGAGAGGTTGCAAGGGCAGAGGGTGGATATGAAGGGACAGGGAAAGGAATAGGATGGAGATGTATGACATGAGAAACACAAATAATAAATAAAAGGAGGAAAAATCCTGATTAATGTAACTGTAACTAAGTGGTTAAGGCAAAGAACTAGAAATCTGTTCCCCAGCACAAGAATGAACTTGCCAACTATGGATTGAGTATTGTGGCTCAAACATATAATCCCAACATTCTGGAGCTGAAGGCAACAGGACCAGAAGGTCAAGGTCATCAACAAGTACATCTAAAGCAAGTTCAAGTTCAAGCTATAAAGAAAGAAAAAGAAGAGGGAAGAGGAGGAGTAGAAGGAAGGGAGAGGGGAGGGAAAAGCTAAGACTGGTGTTTAATGTACTAAAATCTCAATATATTAAGATAAAGCACTCACTGGTTCTAAGGGAAATCCTTGACAGAATTTTCTTTGTGTGGCTTATTGGTTTTCTTTTTTTTTCTTTTATCTTTTTTTCTTTTGGGGGGGGGATGACAGGGTATGTAATTCTGGCTGTCCTTGAACTCACAGAGATTCCCACTTCTGCTTCCTAAGTGCTGGGAATTTTACTCATCCATGTCCATTAAACTTCTCACTCTCCTTATGCCCAATCTCAGTCAACCTGAAATGAATCTGGAGGGTTCAGAAGTTAAAGAAGTTACCTGAGAGTGTGGCCAGGATTCGCTCAGCTGTCCCTCGAAGGGTCTCCCCCGGCTGCCACTGTACTTGAGGGAGCATCCAAAGTTCCTGATCCCCAAGCTTCTCTCTGACTAGGAGGACAAGGTTCCTGTCTAGTTTACGATTCAGCGAGGTTCGGTCATTTTTTTTATCAGCTTCTACAAACAGGATGATTAGAAGAGAGAGAAACATAAAAAATAAAAAAGACTGTGATCTACCAAAACCAAGGATTTTGAGTTTTAGAACCTTCCTTTGGGGACAGCCCTGTCCTCTAAGAATTTATAGCCAAAGTAGAACCCTAACTTAAACTGAAAGGTAAGGACTGGAACCAGAGCTCAACTTCTCTCAAGAGCACAGTAACTTGCAGCCTTTGGAAAAGAAGCAATACCTGCAACAATCCAAACATAAGAACAGAATACAGTTCAGAGGTAGGGCACTTCCCTTGTAAGCATGAGACTCTGGGTTCCGTCCTCAGGAACACATGCACAAAGTTCAAAACAAACAAACAAAGAACGCTGCCTCATTGGATTTAACACTGTTACTGAGATATAATTAACCTCTTCTGTCTCTGTCCTTTAGTCATTATCCTTGAAACAAAGACAACAGGAACCAGCCCCAGCTTTTGAAGTGACTTCTAATAAAACAGGCATTAGAGAGAAAAGACTTAATTCCTCCCAGTCTGTGATCCAGAGTAGAGGTAAAATTCAAACAATAAATTGTAAGCTTTAACAGAAAGAGAAACACTTTACCCCCTCCTCCAAAAACAGCTTAAGTCTTTTAAAAATGGTGTTAGGGGATATAAGGAATAGGAAAAAAAAAATATGTTATTTTCCTGAAAACTGTTTCTTGAAGCTACTTGTTATTAAATTGCAAAGCAGGAGTGAGGCAACTGTCCTTCATTTGGAAACCAGAATAGCCCACTTTCCCTTGGGGTTGGCCTAGGAGGTCACAAACCTGTTACTCGAGCTCCAGGTTTGAATTGTAGGAATGCCTGCTCCCATATATCTTCTAAGTCCTGTACAAGTGTAACGCCCTGCTCATCTTGGCCATCATCATAAAGGTCAGCTTTCTTCTTCGCCAGTTGCTTAGCTTCCTCCAGAGCACGAAGCTCGTGATCTGAATACAGACTTCTCTCTGTCTCCACCTGGGGAATTTAAAAGGAAAAGGAGAAGAAAAAACAAAGCTACCGCACCCTAGACAGTCTAAGAAGCACATCACTTAATACATTTCAAAATACAATCAAAACACTATACGGATGCAAAGAAGAAGAAAAAAGGCCCACTAGACTGTAAACTTGAGTGAAATCTGCCAAAATGTCAGAATGTGATTAAAGATCAAAACTGCCAGAAAGAGAAGAGGGGTGGCAAGGCACTGTGGACCCTTTCCCACTCTAGGTCTACTGGTTTCTAATCAGCATCTCTTCAAGCACTTTGAAAACCTTACAGCATCCCTTCTACCTAGACTATCTCCCCTCACACTATTTCTCCCAGATATGTATTAATCCTTCTGACTTCAACTTAAATACCACTTTCTCAGAAAGCCATCCTGGACAGTTGTCATGAAAATCAAACCCATGTGACTCCATGTAAAACTCTTCTCGTATTCTGTGTTTTCTTTTATAGCACTTACCTAAGTCTGTACTTAGCCATATAACTGGTTACTGACTGCACCCCTAATTCCAGGGCAGGAAACTCTCTGGGAACCAGAGTTATGTTTATCCCACAACTGTATATCTATCACTTTACAAACGATACACAGTGTGAACTATGAATACATGCAAGTTGGGAAAAAAAAAAAAAACCCATATTTCCTCACTTGCCCTTGACAGAAATTGCTCCCTGAGGTAAAAAAAAAAAAAAGCAAACTTTACCATATGCATCTTAAGGATATGCCCACTGCCTCCAAGACTTTCTTCCTAACACTCATCACATCCCAAAGACTTTCCTGTAATCTGTCAGCTCCTAAATTACAGGAAGTGAGTGATTCCTGTTCCCCACCGGATCCCTACCGTGTTGAACGTGCAAGAAGGAAATTATCCACACAGAGTGGCCAAGCGAAAACAAGCCAATTCAACTAAACTCTGTTGAACACCTGCTATATACTAACCCAACCCATTAAAGTAACTTCCATCTTGCAGAGGTCACTAAAGATCGAGAGGTGAAATGATCTGCTCGAGGTCACACAGAGTCACCGTGAAATCAAGGCCCACTTGGCACTGCTGCTTCCCGCCACCGCACCTCGCAGCCCGCGCCTGCCTTACCTTCTGTAGTAGATCCGCCATCTCTTGCTGCAATGGGGTGAGCGGCTTGGTGATCAGCGGTGGCCGCTGCAGACACAAGGCGCCCCACAAGCGCCATGGAGACCGGCTGCCCGACGGCGCTGCCTCAAGGGACAGGCCACGAGAACGC